CGAATTTTTGTGATATAAGCACCATCGAAAACAACTGAATATCACTTGTTGAGTGAATCCAATCGTGGCCTCCATTCCACGGTCGAATTTAAAAGTCTGCCAAAATCAGTTGTCGGGCCGAAAACATCGATGCTGTGCACGAACTGATTTTGCAAGATCGTCATGTAACATATGATGACATTTATGTAACATATTGTACGTTGCTGAACGAATTAAGTCTTACTTTAAGGACGCCCCAAAGTCGGTAGAGGAGAAAGGTGAAGGAAGTTGATTAAAACTACTAATGTTTACCCTGTCTCCTCGCTTACCAGTATTTTTTTCTTCCGGATCGCTTGCACTGGAGCGACCCCATCAAACTCCATATAGAACCAAGAAGACTACTCCACTCGCAAACTACCTTTTAACAGAGATCCAGCATTTTACGGCGGTACTTGTGGGAACGCGCGCGAATCGTCCGCCGGAGTCTCCGTCAGCGAGAGTTTAATCGGCCGCAATTAGCATCGCGCGCGCGCGTCCAGAGCGGCGCGTCGATCGACAGCGGGAGCAGCGGAGGGGAGGCGGATGCGTGCGCACGGTGGGTGCAGCTGCTCGAGGCTGGCCGTTGGGCTGGCACGAAGAGGAGAACTGGCGTGGTTGAGGTTCATAAATGATGGACCGGGCTACGGCAGGGTTTTCCACAGAGCTAGATATCTAGGTCGAATTCTGCCGCTGTCTGGAGAAGAATTCTAGCGGCCGTCTGTTCTGATTGGTAGTTTTCTGTGAATTCTCCATTCAACATCAGGCGAATCCTGCAGTAATCCCTAAGAAATGAGCCACGGACTGCGCGCGATCTTTCCTTTCTCTTCCTTGTCCTATTCGCACACCTTACTCACAAATACACTAACATACACTGCACTGCCACACACGCCGGAAGATCGGTCGGGATCTTAGAGCTTGTCCCGGCAGGGGCGGTGTCTCGCTGGTGGGACATACTAGGTTGTGGAAAACCTCGCTCGTCGATAGGTTGGTTTAGGAGAGGTGGAGACGAAGCGGGAGAGAAGGTAAAGTAGGAGAGCTGATGGCAAAGCAGGTGACGTGCAGGTGTCCAAAAAAGGGGGATTGCTAATGGGAAAGCGGGATCGGTGAAAGTGAATCGAGATGTGAAGGTGAAGATGAAGCGTGAGGAGAACGCAAAGCAGAAGTGAAGAAGGAGAAACAGGAGGCAAAAGTGAAGGCAAAGCGGGAGAGGTGTCAGTAAAGTAAGAGAGAAGTCAAAACGGGAGGGTGAAGGTGACGATTGAGAGAAGGTGAAGCGATACTGGTGAACGCATAGCGGGCGAGGTGAAGACAGTGGGAGAGATGGCGTGAGGGAAGGTGACTCAGGGCAAGAATCGATCAATAGGACGTGGCAGGGCAAGGGTGGTGACAGTACTAAAGCAGTAAAATCAGAGGTAACAACAAGGTGATGGAGGGGGTGTGGAGGTGGTGATCTCCTTGGTGGTTGACAATTGGGCAAGGTCAGTGACGGCGCGACAGAGGTGACAGCTGGGGCGTAGCGTGGACGTCTCCAGGGTTGGAGCGCCGGCTCCCCCGTGTGTTTCGGGTCTCGAAGGCTGGGCTCTGCGGAAGGAAGCAATGACTGCTGCCGCGAGCAATTAGGGTAATGAGCAGCCAGGTGGCGCCGCACTGGGTCCTACGAGTTGTCCACGTCCGGCGTGGACAGGGGCAATCAATCTGTTCAGTGGCACGACGGCAGTCGTGATGTAGGCAGAAGCCCGAAACAGTGTTTTCTAGCTGTGCAGTCAGAGAGGCGGAGCAGTAAGCAGTGCAACGCAGTTCAGCTAATGCAGTCGTAACTTGTTTACGCTACAACCTCCCAAATAAAATAACTTGTACTTGTACTTGTACAAAAGTCCAATTACGGTTTTATTCGTATCCAAATACAAATAGCCAGGTCGGCATCAATTACAAAATTAGTTTGTTAATGTTTTATTTTACGTAGCGAGACTTGTGCCATTCTGTCTAACCACGCCGATTTCGACTTCTGTTCCAAAATAAAGACCCGCCCCGCGAACAGCAGAGTTGATCACAATACCCTCGAGAAAATACCAACTAAACAATGATAAGTTTAAGAGCACTAGTGAATGAGTCAGACGAACGCATGAATAGTGAAGTGAGCGAATGGCTCTCCCTTCACTCCTTTCACCTCTTCCACTTCCCGCTAGTCGTCATCTGACGCGCCGCAATCTGCCTTCTGTCTCTGCCCCTCTTCTGCGCACGGGAAGGGTAGCTGCTCCGACTACCCGGTGGGTGCCTTAGATAAAACATCCAAAACGAAGTTGATGGAGATCATGTTACGAAGCAACTAGTGTTACGAGTTAGTTGACGATGTACAAGTGTTCATTCAATGGTCGAATAGGTAAAAAAAGTGTTGAATGTTTATTGCTTGAACTTACATTGTGTTAAAGTTCTTGTACACTAAACTAATGAAGTATTAAAATACTTTCGTAACATCTACAATATTTTTATCATAAATCTGAAATTACGGAATTTCGATAAAATTTCGAGAAAAATTAGTAGTAGTAGTAGTTTACCATAATTTTATTGAGATTTGTGAAGATGTAATAATCAATTTATTGAATGGCTTTGGTCGAATAATTTGGCTGGTTGTTCGAGCTTTATGATTTGTTGGGGGCATGCCCCCCAAGATTTTTTAAACCGTACAGTAATTTGGAGATTTAAGTTAAAAATTAAAGTTTAATTTCTTGAAATATGTTGTTGAATGGAATTTATGAATGATATTAATTGGTTGATCCATGAATCATCATATGAAAAATAAAATTTTATTCTTGCTTTTTTTGTTTGCGTGGAGAATGATTTACATATATTTAATGTCTAGAAGATGTATATTGTAGTAATTAATATTATACAATTAAGTTCATTTGGATATAGTATTTCTTATAGTATTGGTTAAATGCGTGCCAGCTGCCGCGGTTAGACGTGAAATACAAGTGAATATTGTTGATTAGAAGTGAATTGTTGTTTTCATAATATTATAATTGTTTTTGGTGAAATGAATAAATTTTCTTTATTTGATAAGTGATTTAATGAATCTTCGAAATTAATAAGTTTAAACTAGGATTAGATACCCTATTATAAATTATGTAAATGATTAAATCAGGGTAGTAGTAGTTATGATCTTGAAACCCAAAGAATTTGGCGGTGTTTTAGTCCTTTCAGAGGAATCTGTTCTGTTATTGATAATACACGATTTATGTAACTTGATTTTGTCATCAGTTTATATACCGCCGTCAGTAAGATTATCTTGTTGAGAGTATAAAATTTCATTATATTTATTATGTTTATTATGTCAGGTCAAGGTGTAGCTAATAACCAAGTAGAGATGGATTACAATAAAAAATATTATTTGGATAATATGTTGAATAATTTATTTGAAGGTGGATTTGATTGTAAATTAATATAAATTAATTAATTGATTAGGGCTTTAGAATGTGTGCATATCGCCCCTCGCTCTCGTTTTAAGATGAGATAAGTCGTAATATAGTAGATGTACCGGAAGGTGTATCTGGAATGGCAAAGTAGAGCTTGTTAGTTGAGCAATCCACTTACATTGGAGGGGTTTTGTGCAAATCAAATATTTTGATAATGCTAATATTATTTTTATTTAATAGAAGTATTTTTATTGTTTTTCTTAGTATTTATTTAGAAATTAATTAATTAATTATAGTTGATTTTTACAGTGATGGAATTATGAAAGAGTTGAAATTGTTATTTTGAGGTAGAAGAATATTTGTACCTTTTGTATCAGGGCTTATTAAAGATTGTTAATATATTTTATGTTCTCGAATTAAGAAGAGCTATTTACTTAAGATTTATATTGTAGCAAAAATATATTGGATAATTAAATGGTAGTGATATGTTATTCGTTTCTTAAGATATCTAGTTTCTTAAGAGGAAAATTTAATTTTGGTATTTATTTATGATATTTATACATACATGTATATATGTATATCGTATATTGTATATATACTTAATAATTTGGGGATAAGCTTGAATTCATAATTTAAATGTAATTTAGTTGGTTATATGTATATGAGCTTTTAATTAGCTATTATTTATGAGTTTGTTAATAATTATTAGATATGTAATTAATTATAATTATTTATATTAAAGTTGTATTAAGATAATAAGAATAATTTATTTCTTGTGTAATAATGATGGAATTAGTAAATGAACTGTTTATATTATGTTGTTGATTATTTATTTTAAGGAATTAGGCGAAAATTATTGTTCGCCTGTTTATCAAAAACATGTCTTCTTGAATTAATATGAAGTCGAGCCTGCCCACTGAGTTATTTAATGGCCGCGGTATATTGACCGTGCAAAGGTAGCATAATCATTAGTCTTTTAATTGAAGGCTGGAATAATGGTTTTGAACGAAACATAACTGTCCTGCGGTATAATTAATGAATTTTATTTTGAGTCAAAAGCTTAAATATGACAGGGGACGAGAAACGCTATAGATCTAATATTAATGTATTAAAAAATATGTCCTAGTGGTCTTAATAATTTATATATAAGTTTTGTTGGGGTACAAGGAAAAATTTAACTTCTTTAATTTACTATTGATGTTTAGACCTGTATATGAAAAAGATAAAGAGACCTGGGATAACAGCGTAATATTAGTGGAGAGTTCATGATTGAAAAAGGATTTGCGAACCGGAGTTGATAAAAGAAAATATTGTGGCAGGAGTCAATGTGGTTTTGACCATTAAACTTACATAAATAAACTGTACCCAGTTGGGTTCTATCTCGTTTGAATAAAATGTAATTAGTACACAAAGATAAATACATAAATAAGTATGTTTGGAATATATTAATTAACATTTTTGCAGAAGAAGTGAAAGAATTTAGAATCCATGAATGTAATAATATTAATATAGTATTTTTATATGTGATAATAGGATTGATTTGTTATTGTATTAGTATTTTTGTATTAGTATGGTGTCTTTTTTAACTTATTGGAGCGTAAAGTTTGGCGTTATAATCAGGATTCGAAAAGGTCCTATAGGTGGGTATATAGGAATCTTCAGCCCTTTGCTGATGCTATTAAGTTATTTTGTAGGGAACAAACTTATCCTATGATGTCTAATTATTTAATTTATTTTTTTTTGTCCATTGGTTAGATTATTTTTATCTCTCTTGGTATGATTAATTTATCCTTTGGGGTATGAATTGGTTTCTTTTGATTTGGCATTATTATTATTTTTGTTGTACTAGTATGGGTGCATATTCTATGATGTTGGCTGGTTGATCATCTAATTCTAATTATGCATTATTGGGTGGTTTACGAGCTGTAGCTCAAACTATTTCTTATGAAGTTAGTATAGCGTTGATTTTATTAAGATTTATTATTTTGGTAGGTGGTTTTGGGATTAATTTATTTTTTGTTCATCAGTTATATGTTTGGTTTTTTTGTTAGTATTCCTTTATTTTTTTGTTGATTTTCTTCTTGTTTAGCTGAAACGAATCGTACTCCTTTTGATTTTTCTGAAGGTGAGTCTGAGTTGGTATCGGGTTTTAGTGTTGAGTATAGAAGAGGTGGATTTGCATTAATTTTTATTGCTGAATATTCAAGAATTTTGTTTATGAGAATATTAACTATTTTAATTTTTTTGGGTGGGATTTATTTTCTTTATTATTTTATTTTATATTGGTTTTTATATCATTTGTTTTTATTTGGATTCGAGGTACTTTACCTCGTTTTCGTTATGATAAATTGATGTATTTGGCTTGAAGGACTTATTTACCTGTTTCTTTTAATTATTTGATTTTTTTGTTGTTTTTCATTTTGAATGAATAATGTAATTTATTGAGACATTTTAGGAAATTAAAGTTAATAGAATATAAATTCTATCTTTTGTTTTCAAAACAAATGCTTTAAGCTTATTAACTTAGTTAATTAATTGATCTATTAATTTGAGTATTATGGGGTTGATAAAGAAGTATATAAAATATCTTATGGTTAAAATTTGTCCTGTAAATATATATGGTTCTTGAACTGGTCGTGCACCAATTCAAGTTAATAAAATGACAATGGATGTATAAGTTCAGAATAGTATTTGATTAATTGGATAGAATTGTATTCTTCGGAATTTATTATTAGATATGAAAGGTAATAAAAAAAGAATAGCAATAGATGCAATTAGAGCTATTACTCCTCCCAATTTATTGGGAATTGATCGTAAAATGGCGTAAGCAAAAAGGAACTGGTGTAACCAAAGGATTAGCGGGAGTGAAATTATCTGGATCTCCTAATAAATATGGATTTGTAAGTGATATAGTTAATGATATTAATATGATTAAAAATCCTATGATGTCCTTAAAGGTGAAATATGGGTGGAATGGAATTTTATCTAGATTTCTATTAATTCCAATTGGATTATTAGATCCTGTTTGGTGAAGGAAAAGTAAATGAATTATTACGAATGCTGCAACAATAAATGGAATTATGAAATGAAATGTGAAAAATCGAGTTAGTGTAGCATTATCAACTGCGAATCCTCCTCATACTCATTGAACTAAATCAGTCCCTAAATAGGGAATTGCTGATAAAAGGTTAGTAATTACAGTGGCTCCTCAAAATGATATTTGTCCTCATGGTAATACATATCCTATAAAAGCTGCAGCTATAACTAGGAATAAAATTAGAGTTCCTGTTATTCAAGTGAATATTAAATTGTAAGATCCATAATATATTCCACGTCCAACATGAGTATAAAGACAAATGAAGAAAAATGATGCTCCATTAGCATGTATTGTTCGTAGGAGTCAACCGAAATTTACGTCTCGGCAGATGTGACTTACTCTATTAAATGCTATATTAATGTCAGCGGTATAGTGTATAGCTAAGAAAATTCCTGTTATGATTTGAATAATTAAGCACAATCCTAGTAGTGATCCGAAGTTTCATGATGTTGAAATGTTAGATGGGGTTGGTAAATCAATCAATGATCTATTAATAATTTTTAATAATGGCTGATGTGTTCGTAGGGGTTTATTCATTAGTTATGAATTTGAGTGTCGTAATGGTCCTTCCTGGAAAGATGGAATTTTTACGATGATAATTAATGTAATTAATAGGTATGTAATTGTAATGATTGTTAAAATGAAATTTGGATAGTTGTATAATTGATTTAAGTTATTATTTTCTATTGTAATATTGATAACTTTATTTATGAAGGAGTAATTTTTATATATATGAAATTATAATATATGATTATATATGTAATTTATAATTAAGATAGTAATGGTAGATATTACGAAATTAATAATTATGGTTTTAGCAGGTAATTGAATATTTCATTTGATGCAAATCTTGTAATGTAAATAAATAATACTAATATACCTCCTAGGAAAATTAAGAATAGAATGTAAGAGAATCAAAATGAGTAGGAGATTGATCCTGTTGTAACACAAATTATTATTGTTTGAATAATAATAAGAAGGGTAATAGCTAGAGGGTGATTTATTATAATGAAAAAGATGTTGATTATTAATATTATTATAGTAAATGTAAGTATAAAAATATCAGAGAATAGTTTAATTAAAATACTAGTTTTGGGGATTGGTTATAGATGAATTTATCTTTCTCTGAAGTTTTAAAAGATGTTCTTAATTTTGGTTTACAAGACCAATGTTTTATATTAAACTATTAAAACTTAATGTTTTCATTTTTTCTTTATTAGTGTTAATATTTTGTTATTTTAGTGGTATTTGGATTTATTGTTCTAAGCGGAAGCATATATTAATTATTTTGTTAAGTTTAGAATATATGGTATTATTTACTTTTTTATTAATATTTTTGTTGGGAGAATTTCAGAATGAGTTGTATTTTTCAATAATTTATTTGGTATTTGCGGTTTGTGAAGGTTCTTTAGGACTTGGTATTTTAATGTCTATGGTACGTTGTCATGGAAATGACTTTTTTCAGTCTTTTATGGTATTACGATGTTAAAATTTATTATAATATTCTTGTTTATGATTCCTCTTTTTTTAAAATGGAATATTTTGATGAATGGTTCAGTTTATATTTTTTGATAGTTTTTTTATTTATAGTATCTGTTAAATTTGAATGGAAATATTGAAGGTTTAAGTTATATACTACGATATGATTTATTATCTTATGGTTTAATTTTATTAAGATTTTGAATTTGTGGATTAATAATTATAGCAAGAGTTTCTATTTATCAATATAATTATTATAGAAATTGATTTGTTTTTATAATTATTTTTTAAATATTAATATTAATATGTGCTTTTTCGAGAACTGATATGTTATCTTTTTATATTTTTTTGAATGTAAATTAATTCTTACATTATTTTTAATTTTAGGATGGGGTTACCAGCCCGAACGTGTTCAGGCTGGTATTTATTTATTTTATACATTGTTAGCTTCTTTACCTTTATTAATTGGTTTATTAAAATTTTATATAGTGAATGGAACTTTATATTTATATGGATTTTGGGGTGATGAGGTTAGTAATATATATATATATATATATATATATATATATATATATATATAATTATTGCGGTTTTAGTTAAGATGCCTATATTTATGGTTCATTTATGATTACCTAAGGCTCATGTTGAGGCTCCTATTTCTGGTTCTATAGTGTTGGCAGGTGTTTTATTAAAGTTGGGTGGTTATGGATAATGCGTGTTTTTAGAATTATGGTATTTTGTTGTTTAAAATTGAACAATTTTGTTTGAATTGGTATTAGATTAATTGAGAGCTTTTTAATAGGGTTGGTATGTTTACGTCAGGTGGATTTGAAATCATTAATTGCTTATTCATCTGTTGTACATATAGGAATAGTTTTAGGTGGTTTAATGACTCTAAATTCTTGAGGTTTTTGTGGTTGTTATTTAATAATAATTGGACATGGATTATGTTCTTCTGGTTTATTTTGTTTATCAAATATTGTTTATGAGCGGTTGGGAAGTCGTAGATTAATTATTAATAAGGGATTAAGATGTTTAATACCGAGAATAACATTATGATGATTTTTATTAAGATCATCTAATATGGCAATAAATCCTCCTTTTTTAAACTTATTAGCGGAAATTAGATTAATTAATATAATTATATCATGAAGTTAATTAGGAATGTTTTTAATTGCTTTAATATCTTTTTTTGGAGCTGCTTATAGATTATTTTTGTTTTCTTATAGTCAACATGGAATAAATTTTTCTGGTTCATTTAGTTATGTAAATGGATATTTTTCGTGAATATTTGTTGTTATTTTTGCATTGATTTCCTTTAAATATTTTAATTTTACGTGGGGATTATTTTTTTAGTTGTATTTAGCTTTATTAGTTTAATGAGAATGTTGATTTGTGGAATCAAAGGTATATGATAATTAATATATTAGGCATTAACTATAATAATTTTATTTGTAAATTGTCTTTTGTAGTTTTCTTTTCGATATCAATAATAATGTGTTTTTGGGTTGGTTGTTTGTATTAATGATTGTGTGATTTTTTTGGATTGGAATATTGTAACTTTAAATTCTTGTCATGTTATTATAAGAATTATTTTAGATTATAAATCATTATTGTTTATGAGATTTCTAATGTATAGTTCTTCTTTAGTGATTTATTATAGAGATAGATATATGATAGGTGATTATAATTTATCTCGTTTTATTATTTTGGTATTAATATTTGTATTATCTATGATGTTTTTAATTATTAGTCCTAATTTAATTAGAATTTTATTAGGATGGGATGATTTAGGATTAGTTTCTTATTGTTTAGTAATTTATTATCAGAATTTAAAATCTTATAATGCAGGTATAATTAGGGCTTTATCTAATCGTATTGGTGATGTGGCGTTATTATTATCTATTGCTTGAATAATGGGATATGGTAGTTGAAATTATTTATGGGTAAATAATTTGGGGAATTTGGATGTTGAGATGTGATATTTAATTGTTTTAGTTATTTTAGCAGCTGTGACTAAAAGAGCTCAGATTCCTTTTTCTTCTTGGCTTCCGGCAGCTACAGCTGCTCCTACACCTGTTTCTGCTTTAGTTCATTCATCTACTTTGGTTACGGCTGGGGTATATTTGCTTATTCGATTTGGAATAATTATTGAAATGTATTCAATGAATGATTTTATATTATTTATTGGTTGTTTGACTATATTTATGTCTGGTTTAGGTGCTAATTTTGAATTTGATTTGAAGAAGATTATTGCTTTATCTACTTTAAGTCAATTAGGGCTAATAATAAGAAGAACTATTGGATTAGGTTATTATGATTTGTTTTTTTTCATTTATTAACTCATGCATTATTTAAAGCCTTATTGTTTATATGTGCGGGCGTTATTATTCTTGGGATAAATGATCTTCAAGATATTCGTGGAATGAGAGGAATTGTAAATCAGATACCTTTAACTTCTATTTGTTTTATAGTTTCAAATTTGGCTTTATGTGGTATACCTTTTTTATCTGGTTTTTATTCAAAGTATTTAATTTTAGAGTTAAGATTAATAAGAAATTTTAATTTATTAATTTTTTTGTTGTTTTTTCTTTCTACTTGATTAACTGTTTGTTATACTTTTCGGTTGCTTTATTATGTAATGGTAAGTGAATTTAAATTTAAAATATTGCATTGTTTGGGTGATGAGAGTTATGGGTTTATTGGTCCTATGTTTATATTAGTATTAATGTCTATAGTTGGTGGTTCATTATTATCTCGATTAATATTTAATACTCCTAATTTAATTTGTTTACCATTTTATATGAGGATTTTTGCGTTGGTTGTTAGTTTTATTGGTGGTTGAATTGGTTTTGAATTATCAATATTGAAAAATTATTGAAGATTTAGCTTTAAAAATTGTTATAGTGTAATGTGTAATCGCGCGAGTAACAGAGCAGCAAGAAAATTATTAAATCTCAATTAATCATTAAATCAATCGGTTAAGTGGCGTCCGATGTAGACGCGTAATGCTATAGGATTATCATTCAAACTGATTACAATGCGCTATTAAATTATTCATACCGACTGTTATAATTCTCAATGTGCGTATCACGGAGCGCATATGGATTGCATTGAACATTGTACTAATTTTCCATAGTGATATTCACTCATATTAATTTTATAAACATTTCAAATTGAATACTACAGAAAGGATTATGTTGTAGCGTCATCTGTGAAACTGTACTTTGTAATTCAACGTTGACAATCTGGTATGATTTCCATATTACATATTAAAAATGTATACTTACTACTACTTACTAGTGCTACATCTACTTCTAATACTTCTACTCCTACTGTTACTGCTACTGACCCTCCTACTGCCATTCCTACTGCTACTGTCACTTCTACTGCTATTGCTACTCCCGCTGCTATTTCTACTCCTACTTCTACCGCTGCTACTGCTATTACTGCTAAAGTTGTCTTTTATTAATGGTGAGGCCCGTCCCTTAGGCTTATACTTCCGTCTAACAACGTCAAAAATATATTTTGTGAACTATAAAGAAGAGTGAAACACATTAGTTTTACATCGTGAAAAGCAAACGAGAGACCATCTTGGCATACCCCTTAAGCGATTGAGGAAACCCAGAAAACCTCAATATGACGGCAGCGAGAACATTCACAAAATAGAAAGCCTAACTTCAGTAGATAAATTATGATAAGTGTATATAATAATTACGTAAAAAATGCAAATAGTGTATCGTCAACAATAAATAACAAACAAAAGAAGAGTAAATATTACAGTAATGTTATGTAGTGGCATAGTAACAGTATATATAGCGTAACATAAACTGATAATTAAAGGAGCAAACATAGTGACAATATACATATATATATATATATATATATATATATATATATATATATAGGGCTCTATGGCGATTGTGTGCAACCCCATAACACCACCGTCTCATATGTTCAAACAATACGGAGGCAAAAGAGGTGGAGATTAGTCAGGCGCAGAAGAGGTTATCGTAAACGCGCGGCCTGTATCTGCTGCGCCGGTACTAAACGAGGCGCAACATGTAAGCAACGTTCCTTTTGAAGGGTAATCGAGGGGGAAGCAGCCACACCACTTGAGAATTCCCCAGCGCCGCCGCGAATAAATTACGCGAACCCGCAAGCGCAAGCTCTCTTTTACCACCGACTGTCGAGTGAATGCAGGCTTCTCTTTTCTTGCCACCACTCTCGACTAAGCAGTATTTCATCACATCGCCGAGCCATAGCATAATTGATCCACGCGCCGGCTGTTGCCATCTGGGGTGCCCATCCCGCGGTCGAGTGCAACACTTTCGTTAACACTTAGTTTAGTATATTGTTTGCCGCTTTGCACGATCTACTAGGTTAGCGAGTTACCTTCGGTCGGTCAACAGACGTTCTAGTCTAGTAACAGTTCGCCAAATGGCAGAGTTCATTAAAAGTGTTTCTTCAATTAATGACACGGGAAAGTAAGGTGTAGCCCCCGTTATGTGAGAAAGCATTTGAAAGTATCTGGTTAAAGCAAACCAAGTAATTAGAAGTAGCTAATCACCAGCGAGAACTTGCACGAGTTATTCAGCTAAGTGCAAGAACATTTTCGCAATCGCTCCGCCACCGTCACCGCGCCCTTCCTACCCCCTCTCCTCCCCCACCCACCCCCCCCCCAATCTGTGCTGTAGTCGAACGCGCGTAGCAGAACGTCACTGGAATAAGCAAGAGTCCGAAGACCAGGCGCGCGAAGAAGAAGCGGATCGACTACGAAGAAGAACGCAAGAGACGCCAAGAATCAGCGTAGACGGCAGAGGCGAATCCCGTTTTTCTTACGATCGCCAGAAGCTGGACCGAGCGACGGTTCGACGCAGAGGGACCCAGCGCATCTATCATCAAGCAAAAGTGGGAGTCCACAGGTGACAAGTTAGAAACCGCAGATAAAAGGACAAGTCCTCACGTCGGCAGGAAAATAAAATCTGATATAGAAGATAAGTGCTCATAAGAAAATCCCGAGACACCGGAGTGGCAACAAAATTGCAGTATTATAGTAGAGACATTCGGGATGCGCTTATTGCTCTGCTAATCACATTCTACTTAGAACATTATTATTCTGCCATTTTTCAGACACAGTCAGTTAAATTGTAGAATTGAGAGGGTAGTGGCACTTGCCACACATTATTGCTCTTTGCATGTAATATTTTTGAAGCAGGAGATGTTGTAAAATTGTATTTTTGGTTTATCGTGCTAATGGTTTATAGAAATAGCATAATTTAGATGATAATTAATTTTCCAGGGAGATTCCCAGGATAGAATTAGATTAATTTATTTCCAGAGTGTCAATTTGAGTAAATTATGTGTGTCATTCATAAGTGTGTGTTGTAAAGGTTTCTATTTGTGTTTTGACATTCTTTGTAAAAGTGTTGATTCTATATTTCTTGTGTTTTTTCATGTAACTTGTGCCAGCTAAAAAATTTATGGGTAAATATTATACGCTCGTTCGGTTGCAATTTGTGTGCATTTTATTGTCCCAAGGGTTCAAACCTTCTCGCACCTGAAGGATCCTGCTCCCTAGATTTTTAAAGCACCTCGCTTCAAACGCAGCAAAAATCTTGATAACCCGCCTGACGGTTCATGCGTGCTGCTGTGAAGGTAACAAGTTGTGGGGTAGGTGGGTTAGCTAGAATATATATATTGATTTCATTATTATCATCAAACGTGATATAGGTGTCAATATCACTTTTAACCAGGTTAATATTAATAAATTAAATGATAACGGTAGAAAATTTGCTGATGTCACAAATGAAACTACAACTTACATGACAATAAATTACAGTTAATAATCATTACAATAAAAGTGAAATGAAAAACAATCATCGATGATTTCGTAGGTGAGTCCAAGTTACAAAATAAAAATTAAATTAAAATTTGTGTTTGAAAATTAGGTTTAATGATCCTTCAAAAATTAATATACTTTTTTAAATGCTTATAATGACTATTTTTAATGTACGTATTCTGTAGCGTTAGTTTTTAATGATAGTTTGATTTTTTGTTAACTAAAGAGTTTAATCTCATATTCAAAGAACAGGGGACTTCGTCACCTTTTACTAAATAACTCACAAAACATAAAATACTAGTAAAACACACAAATACAATATTGTGGAGGCTTTATTTAAAGTATCATCAAAAACTAAAATGTCTATTTCAAACTCAAAAGGTCTAGTTTTCATTTGAATCGATCAGGAAATATCAATTTTGGGAAAACTTGGCCGAACGTTTTAGGCCCTATCGCCATGGACGGACGGAGAGATGGGCGTTTAACCATCATCGCATTTTTCGGTATCAGAGACTCACAAAACATAAATTCTGTAATTGAGGAAATAATTTACTATATATAGGAACAAGATTTATCCATTTTTCCGTTACCAGGCCCGCCAATACGTTTCTCTAGACAAAATTTGCCTTTTTCCAACGCACGATTGCAATATATCTCTTTACGAAGTAAGATCGAGGAATTAAAATCGATCTTCTCAAAAACTACTTCAAATTTGTATTCTTGGTTAGAGCAAAGTTCTGTTTACAAATGGCATAACTCCGATTTTCATTTATTTTTCAAAATTTCCGAAAATGAAAAAAGTACAAATAAGGTGGCAAACAATTGCATTGTTCGGTACAAAGGATTTTTCTTAATCTGTTATTTTAAATTACTTCTTTAAATATTGTCCAGTAATAGTTTTTTAACCATGAGCAGTTTTTAAAGAATTAAAATCGGTTCACGGGATTGGTCAATGTGGTTAGATAAACAATTAGTTTCGCCAAGGTTTCGAAATATTTAATTTATTCATCAGGGCGAAAGGCATAAACAATGAACAGTCTATGAAGACAACAATACAATATATAATAAATACATTACAATAAATTGATTTTTAAATAATTAACACATCTAAAACCAAAAAATTAAAACTATAAACTAGGATAAATATAGGAAAAAAATATAGGAAGTACACACCTTACAATAATCAGACAGGTAACGTCTCATTTCAAGCCTCCACACCCAACGCCATATAGAGTTGCTAGAGCACTCGAGTCCATCGCGCAACAATAGTGAGTCGGGCCAAGGACCAAATGTAAATGAATGAGGACTAGTTGAATTCAATGAACCAAGCGCTACAGCCACTCCATGACCCGCCACCATGCGTTTCCAGTCACGTTCATGTTAAATTAGCATAATTACCTGACAACATTCTGAAAAAGTTGATGCAATTGTATGAAAACTAGATGTATTGACCAAATGTTGTAATCATTATTATTATTATCAATATTATTATTATTATTATTCACAGTCAAGAGAACAGAATATTAATTTATTACAATGAATATAATATACCAGGGCACACTTCCGGTCATTGTATTGTAAACAAACAAAATAATTTTAATGAAAAATATAAAATACATAAAATGTAAAAAACTAAAATATGTATATGTAAACCAAATGTACATAAATACATACATACACACATACAATTGAACATACATAAAACAACCATACATTGATGAAA